AGGCATCAGTAAGAATAAGTGGCTCTCAACGTGACAGGCAGATAGCACTGTCCAGTACGAGGCAGAGAATGCTTGAGCTCTACCCCTCCTCACCATCAGGCAGATCTGAGAATCTCACTGTGGCCTGTGAAACCCTCACTCATTTCACCTTTAATGCCTTGAACGTCTCCATGAATTTCTCCAGCTCATCAGGTGGCAGGAAATCTCCAATGAAATGCTTTCCTCTGCCCATCTGTGTCAGCTGCTCGGCCCACTCTGCTCTCAACATGAACGATAAAAACAAAATGTAGAAACGATCAAACATTGCAGCTTTGATCTCAAAGTGCTTGACAAAGCACTAAGCTTCACAACCCCACATGCAGCAGATATTATCTCCATTCTACGGACAGAGAAAATGGACGTCACAGAGGCGAAAGGATTTGCCCAAGAGCATTCAGCAAGTCATCAGCAGAGGTGGGAATGGAATCCAAGAGCCCCGACCCATGATCCCCTGCTCTGACCAGAAGATCCACTCCAGAGGTCTCTGCAGAGCAGCAAACTAAGTGCAACCTCACTGCTCCCACTTTCCCATGCACCTCTGGTCTTGTCCATCTCCATTCGTCGAAGCTGATGTTCCCACGTCCCCAACTCGCTGTCCACCTCCTCATCGCTGTCATAACCATGCTGGTGCTGCTGAACTGCCTTCTCCCACATGATCTGCATTTCCTGCATGGCTCGCTTATGTTTCATGATCATGTCGTACATCTGCTGCATCTAGGGGAAGAAAAGCAGCAGTCTTCTCAGCCAGCCAGTCAGTGCATGGGCAGCAGAGGTTTCTGCAAAGAGGTCCCTGGGGTTCTACAATACAGCCTGTGGCTGCCTCACCTCTGTACTATGCAGGCTACGACATCGACAGCTCCCAGCAGGCACTGCTGTAACTTGATCCAAGTAGCTGGCCGCTCCAATAAACAGGAGCATCATCTACCGGCACCTTTGAGAGCTGCATCTCTATCTTAAAAGTTGAAGGCAGCTGCCATCTGATCTTCAAGTAGTTTAACTGAAGCTCTGGATTCCAGCAACTGGCCAATTCTACTACGGCTTATGCTTCCCCTCAAGTTACAGCAACAGCGGTGTAAAGAAGCAACAATAGCCTTTACAGGGTTTCAGCCGGAAGGGGAACAAAGTCCCATAGGAAACATATCAGGAGCCCTGTCTCCTCTTGCATGTTTAGTGGAGAAAGCGATGGACTAGACTTGACTTGCATCCGTCAACGTCCTAACCAGCATCATTGTTGATGCAGCATCATGTATGTCTGAGGAATGCAGTAAGATTCCTCAAAGTTTGCTGTTCAGGCCTCTGGGAGGAATCTCTGGTTTTGCCACCTGTCTATTCCCCCCCCCACCACCTCCAAATGCCCAAATGCTGCAATGCAACAGGCTGGCACACCAAGTAGCTCAGCAATACAGGGCCTTACCTCCTGCTGCTCCTTCAGCTGCTTCTTCTGGGCTTCAGAGAGCTCTGTTACACCCACCAGTCCAACCGGCTTCCATTTCTCATAACCGAGACCCTTGAGGTCCTGAACTGTAATAAGCAAATGTTAAAAGGCTTTCAAAAAAACAGTGAGGCAGCTGTTTAGGATGGCAGAGCCGTGTCCCAGGATCCCTTTGGCTGAAATCCCTGCAGTCCCTTTCACAGCACAACCCCTGGTAGGACACTGAAGAATTACAGAAGGAGACCCATTAGATGAGACTCCCCCTCCTGGCAAACTCAGAAGTGTTCCCTTCTTCAGTTTCTCCCTGGTTTTGTCCAGTTTAATCTTAGGAGCCTGGTCCTCAGCTTGTCTTGGGAAGTTATTCCACATTCTTAACCATCACGCTGACAGGAAGTCCCCCTCCCCCAAAAGTCCCAAGTTGTCTCTTCTTCATTTTATCTTATTTCTCCTAATTAAACTCTTTCATAAACGATCCCTCCCCCGACAAAAAAAAAGAAAAAAGAGAATAATATTTTCAGCATGAAGTCCCAAGCAGATTTTGGCCCATCAGCACACTGCTCAGCCAATCGGCATAGAAACTGTACCGTGTTTCCTATGTAAACAGCCACTTCATTCAGAACGATAGGCAAATGACGAACAAAGAGAGAGAGGCAGGCATTATTCTTTCTTGGAAATCACTGTTCCCAAAGGCGTTTTACTTTCTAATTTACAGAGCTCAAAGGGAGCAGTTCCAAGCATGTCAGCACTCCTGCCTTCAAAGAGGAGACGCTCTAAGTCTCAGCTCAATGATTCCATTGATGTATTCCTGTTCTGCTGTGCCCGAGTCTGAAGCCCCTGCTTTGAAATTATTTTACCTGCTGCTGTATTGGACAGGCCCTGAAATTACGTTTTAAGCTTATCCAGGCAGGTATCCCACTGATTTGAAATGACTGTGCAGCACTGTGCATTCGGAGGGGCATTTTAAAGAGTCCTAAATAGGCATTTAAAATAAATGTATTGCTGCAGCATGAAATAAAATAATAAAAACATTGCTGGGGCTGTGGAAGAGAGATTTACAGTGGAGAACTGCTTGCAAGCTTGCTCCATTTGTAACTCTTGGGGCCAGCAGCTCCCTCTTCGAAGCATGAGAGTCAAGACTAGAACGGTTTAAATATTTAAAGGATTAAAAAAAAACAAACCCTCACACAACTGCACTTGAAAGTACCTTTCATTTTTCAGTACAAGAAGAAAGATTTCTTCTTCCTAATGGCTGCACAAACCTCAGTTCTAATCTAAGTCCAGGCTATGGCTAAATGATGCTTCATTAATTATTCACTCTCTATTAATTATGAAGCTGGGTAATAACAGGATCATTGTTCATGACACCAAGTGTCTGTGCAGCATGCTAATTAGGCCCCTAGGGTCTTCTCTCCCTTTCCTTTATCCTCACTTAGGGCAATTGATCCGAGCACTGTTGCCTGCCTTCCCTCCCCAAATGCTCTCTGCCAAGCACATCACAGCCTGGAAAGTAGCTGCCTTCATGCTTGCCTCAAATGAGAACACAAAGGGATCTGGCTGTCCGTGTGCACGCAGCACATGTTACAGGCACTCTTGTAACCAGCTTCAGTAAGGAACTATGAGAGCAGGAGAGAAGGTTACAGAGATGGCCGGGCCGGTCTGGGCCTGATCCTGTGAAGTACTAAGCACCCACTATGCCCAACAATAATGAATGAGAAATACAAGCCTAGCTGTCACATTACTGAGAAATAAATAACCTGGTTCTCCCATCCATGGTGAGATTTACAAGGAGGTCCACTGTGGATTTGGGATTTTTATCTTATTTTATTTGCCTGGGTCCACAAAGAACCATGTTATATGCAGACAAAATTGTCAGAAGGAAAAGGAGAGGCAGGCCCCAGATGTTTCATATCCAGGTGGTTTGCATCCCACTTAATAAGCAGGGGGTTGCTAAGTGAAGGACAGGCTGCACAGCTGCTTGCTGCAGCTTTACTTCAGCAGGGAACTGCTTCTCTCCCCAGTTGGAGCTCATGTCCTGGGCAGTTATTGGAAAGCAACACCCTTTGAAATAAAAGTTGGAGCCCCTTAGTGGAGCTGTGCATTGGTTTGCTTTGCCTCTATATTCTTCTGGATAGCTCACAAACACTCACCCTTGTGGGAGGCTAAGGAACCCAACCCTACAAAGCTTCTGGGTCCTACTGCATAAAAACAGATTATGGGATTTAAGAGTTAGTGGCATCAGGCTAGAGTTATGCCAACAGCCGCCAAAGGACAAGGCACATCTCTTCCACGTCTTCTCTCTAGCAGATCTGGGAGGCAGGGAAAAAGTGCTTTCATTCTAGGAAAAGCATGTCCTTGCAAAATATAACCTTGGGGCACAACAGGGTTAACAGCATGGACGGTAGTGATAGCACTGGTAGAAGACTACCTGGAGATCTACCACTGCCCATAGACCTGGAGAGAATCTTCCACCTTCCTTATGCTGGGAGTGTATTCCCATTAGGGGCCAAAGGAGCACTTTTTGCTACAGACGTAGCTGCCGGACCTTGGACCCTAAGTCTGCACAGCACATTAATTAAATACGAGGCAAATTCAAAACAGGGCCTCTCCCTCAATCCACAGCTAGGTTCTGATGAGTCTCGACACTCTTCATAGGCTCTCCCACAGTGCAGTGGACCAAGTAACCATATACATATTCTACCAAGCATCTCAAGTACACTAGGCCTGTCAGGGTGTAGGGAATTAGGTATTTAAGTATCAATATATTTAAGAAGAGCCTCGTTTCTGTCCAAAAGAACAATATTCCCCGCTCTACATGATATTGATTTACTATGGAAAGCAGACAGGAAAAGAAAAAGAACAGCAGCCATAAGTGAGACATACAGTGCTCCACAGCAGCTATGAAAATGCGGCTAGGAAAGTATGGATAAGAACAAACAGCAGCATATCTTGTGCCTCTCGACTCCAGTGGGGCCATGGCTATGATATGGCCCTCCATTCACCTGCCAGGTCAAAGAATGTGAATTCTGGAAAGGGACTATTCCAGCTGATCCAATACCGCACTTCCCCTGCAGACCATTAACACAACATTAATGGCTGATTTCTTATGGCTGGCAGATTGTTTGCTGTCCTTTCCTTTAAGCTGACACACTGACCTGTGGAAAGTGAGAGTGAACTACAGTGAGCATGTCACTGTCTAATTAAGTGGAAGCTGCAGCAAAAAGTGAGGGGAGATTTCAGCAAGGTGCCACACTGGGGAACACAGCTCCCAGACCCTAGCTGCAGCATAATGAGCTAGGCTGGAATTTGCATATTTTACTTTGATGGCGCCTGCTCAACTTTGGCATTTTACTTCTTAAAAATAATACAACAATAGAGAAACCTAAGGGGCAACAAGCCATCTAAGCCTGGCTTTTCCTCACCAGCCCCACTGCAACTGTTAGCAGAGCTGCTAATGGCTGCAAGGAGAGGAGGACTCTGCAAGTCAGAACACGGAGAGAATTCTTCATCTGAAAGCTGGCTCAGTAGGAGCAGGAATACAAAATCACCCCGATGGCACATCAGGCTTGGTACCCCTCCTCCTGCGTCTCTAGTGAGCCATGTAATCAATTTTCCTGTCTTGGGCACCAGCCAGTATCTGAAGCTTTAAAGGAAAGAAACCGCTACAATATACCCCATCATGTCAAATGCTGAATACAGGCATACCTCGGAGATATTGCGGGTTCGGTTCCAGACCACCGCAATAAAGCGAATATCGCAATAAAGCGAGTCACCCGAACTTTTTGGTTCCCCACTGCATATAAAAGTTATGTTTACACTATACTGTAGTCTATTAAGTGTGCAATAGCATTATGTCTAAAAAAAACAATGTACATACCTTAATTAAAAAATACTTTATTGCTAAAAAATGCTAACCATCATCTGAGCCTTCAGCGAGTCATAATCTTTTTGCTGGTGGAGGGTCTTGCCTCAATTTGTAAAAAATGCAATATCTGTGAAGCGCAATAAAGCGAAGCACAATAAAACGAAGTATGCCTGTACAGGGTACACGCAAGAGAGAGATGGAGGGCTTCTTCCTTTGCCCTTCTGGTGTTCAGCTGCCTCTATGATGCACATTGCTTACCCTTTACCCTGGTTAGGCATAAGGACCAATGTTATTAATGGCCACGCAATTATCCAGTCTCTAAAACCCAAAGCACAGGACTTGACTCAATGATCTGTGTGGCAGTGGCAGCCTGAATTCCAGAGGCTCATCTTGTGCTTAGAGAAGTACATGTGGTCTCACTCCGCACCTCAAAACAAATCAGTTTACTTTCTACCATTTGCCCTGTTTCGTATCTTCTCCCTGCCTGTGGCAAGGAGGCCCTGGCTGGAAAGAGAGGACTCCACCTCCTCTGTTTTATCACTACTTCACCTGTAGTTTGTTGGCTGTTTTATCTTTGATCTTCTTCTTCATTTTCTCTCACATTTCCATATCCCTTCCCCTTGACACATTAGCTGGGCAAAGGATCCCAGACAAACTTTCAAACTGTATCTGGAAAATGTCTACATTTGCCTGTTGTACTTGAAAGGCTTAGATTTATGTGAGCACACCTAGCACAGGCATATATGGGACAGGAGGGAAGAGTCATGTTCCTTGGTATTTGGTGCAAACTACACTCTAGAAAGAGGTCTGGGCTGTGATGTTCCAACACCAGAGGAGGATAATGAACCCAAAGTGCAGTCCCACAAACTGAAACGGGCTCTGAAAGTTGGTGACTTGTATCCCTGAGCATGAGGAGAAGAGCTATTTACATGTAGCGACACTTCTGATCAGTTGAGGATGAAAGTGCTGTCTGAGGATGGTGGCTTGCCACAGGGAATAAGCACAGTTCAGACTTATATTTGTTTTCTAAGTATCCCTATTTCTGAAGTGAAATAGATCTAAATAGCATAAAGGCTGAGACCATAATGAGCTACAGTACAGTGGGGTTTTAAAGATAGCTGAGGAACGATAAGATCCAATCCCCAGTGTCAATGAGATAAAGTGCTTTATCTGGGTTTGCACACAGGGAGAGTTAGTGGCTAGACTCAGCCAAGAGATAGTGGGTTGCTGACTGGGAAAATTACAACAAGAGATAG